GGCACTTTTGGCAAAATGCAGAAAGTGCCATTTTTTTTGTCCGCAATAGCGGTGCATTCCTGCTTTCTCTCCTCCCTGCTGGGCGCTGCTCTGTGTCACAGCGGGGAGGAGAGAAACTGTCACCGGAGGCTGAGCGGTGCGAATGGATCTCTCCACCCCGCACCGCTCAGCCCCCTGTGACAGATCAGGAGAGAGCGGCGGTGTGGGCGGAGACAGCTGTCATTGCTGTCACAGGACGCTGAGCTCTCCTCCCGCACTGCCCAGCCTCCTGTGACAGCCAATCCAGGATGGAGAGTAGGTACAAACACTCAGCGATCGGTGATTGCTGAGTGTTTGTACATATTTAAGGACATAGTATGTTTACTGTGTCCCTAATTATGAATGAATGGGAGTGATCTACATCACTTCCTGTTGATTCATGATTGTGGACATGGTAAACATACTATCTCCACAAGTTATGAATGAACAGGAGCACTCAGTATAGAGGATTCCACTTCATTTATAGCAGGCTGCAGAATAGAGATTGAGGACTCAATCTCTTTTTCTATTGCAAAAGGGAAATATCAGGGGTCTATTGCCTTATGGGATCAGGAAGGCATTTTTTCCCCCCTGTTGGAGCAAATTGGACCATGGATCCTCTGTAGGGAAAACATTTTTTTTTTCATGAAAATTTACGGTTTAATTTTTTCATTATATAGTAAAAAATAAACACCCGAGTGGTGGTTATATACCTACAAAAGAAAGCTATACCTGTCCCAAAATTTTTTTAACATAAATTGCAAGGCTATAGTCCGGTCATGCTGACTGGTGGAATTTTGACTGACTGGTGAGAAATCCTAAAATTTACCAAGCTGTGTATGTGTGTGTGTATCTTTCTCTCTATGGCCTCATTCACAGGAGAAAAAGCCGGCACGTACAGCTCGGGCAACTCCCGGGAAGGACAGGTGCTGCGTGTGATTTAGTACGTAGCCCTTGTCCTTTATCGGAGTACGCAGCCATATGCCGTCCTACGCTCACCCACCCTGCACGTCTGTGCGGGTGTCCGTACTTGTACGCTGACGGGATGGACCCTGTCTGCGTCCGAGCCGGGACACCCGCACCTGTACGGACCTGCACGGACCTGCACTTGGGGCGAGCATGCAGCACGGAGCTGTATGTGCCAGCTTTCTCACGTGTGAATGAGGCCTATAGGTTGAACACGATGGACATGTGTCTTTTTTTCAACCTGACTAACTATGTAACTGTTTAGACCTCTAATATTCCCCCGAAGCCCCCAACAATAAAGTAAAAAATAAAAATATGTAATAAAAATATTACAAATTTAAAAAAGTTAGAAAAAAAAAAAATTTCACTTTCAGCCTGACATTTTTTTAAATTTCAGTTTCATTTCAAGTTTTGACATTTTTTAATTTCGGTGCACCTCTACAATAAATCATTTGTGTGTTTTCTGTTCCAAGTAATTGCCAACACAAAGATGTTGCATGATAGTTTTATAGAGTGGACCCGTCCCTAACCATGCGGTGGTGGAGGGATTGCTGTGATGTGAGCCAAGTTCGGTCTGTAGATATATAAGGTATACATAGAACTTTATGGGGCATTATTAATTCTTATAAAGTCTCATTTATACCACCACCCCATGTAACCATTCTAATGTTGTGTAAAAGCGGCAAGCACAGAAGAAATCTAAAATAAAATAGGATACTTGTTCACAATCAGGGTTCACACACACACACACACGAGAAAGACAATATAGTGTGTGTGTGTGTGTGTGTGTGTGTGTATAGATATTGATCTATGTGTGTGTTATAGTACACACACACCTTTATTTTTATTTATATATATATATATTTAAATTTCGGCAATTTTTCCTTTATATAGTAAAAAATAAAAACCCCAGTGGTGATTAAATGCCACCAAAAGAAAGCTCTATCTGTCCCCAAAAAAGGGTATAAAATTAATTTTGGTATGGCGTTGCATGACGGAATAAATGTCAGTCAAAGTACAACAGCGCTGAATACTGAAAAATGGCCTGGCCAGGAAGGGGGTGAAACACCCTGGTCTTCAAGTGGTTAAAAAAATGCTGAGGAGTAAAGTCCCTGATACACAGTTGACTAGTTGCTATGGGCAGCAAATGAAATAAATGTTCTCTATAACTAGACAACCAGGACATATAATTGATTCTATATTATCCACAAAGGGTTAACAGCACTCTCTCAACCCTGCAGCAGCGCCTGTACCTGCTCTCCATAGTACTGTATCTCCGCCCTCTCTGTGCAGCAAGTAGCTTCTTCCTTCTGAGAGCCAAGCCTCGTTCTGAGGCTACTCTAGAGAACACATGACCTTCCTCCAGGAGGCAAGCCTCACTCTGAAACTTTACCCACTGATATCTTATTGGAAAGGTTTACTCAGAGTAAACCTTTCAGGGAGAAAATGCCAATCTCGCGGATAGTTTTGAATAGAGCAAGGACGGTTTAGAACCCCCGTCAGGTAACCATACCCTCTCAATTTGTCCTGGTAACCATTATCACCAGGACTGAGTGTAAGGTAAAATCCTAAATGTGTTACCAGAATGCAATAGAAGGAAAATCTTCTAAGGGAGACCCTTGTTTTAGTGGCAACTCTAAGAGGGGTTTCCCTCTATGTGGAAAGATTTCTTCTCATTTTACATTCCAGGAAAAGGAATATCTCCTCAATGTGACACAAATGGGAAAACAACGCTATCAGGCCACTGTAATTTCTTTCCCTACTCATCTTTTTCTGACTGTTTTTCACTAGTTTTGCATTTGGCTAGAGTCAGTTTCACTACTGGTAGCATGAGGCGATAGCTGCACCCTATAGAGGTTGCACAGGCATGCAGTGGGTCCTGGGTTCCTCCTGGTGCAAGACAATTCCCGGCCTCATGTGGCGAGAGTATGCAGCCAGTTCCTTGAGGATAAAGGAATTGATACCATTGAATGGCCCCCACGCTCGTCTGACCTGAATCCAACAGAACACCTCTGGGACATTGTCTCGGTCCATCCGACGCCGCCAGGTTGCACCTCAGTCTGTTCAGGAGCTCTGTGATGCCCTGGTCCAGATCTGGGAGGAGATACCCAAAGAAACCATCCATCGTCTCATTAGGAGCATACCCCGATGTTGTCAGGCATCCATACAAGCACATGGGGGCCATACAAACCAATGAGTACCATTTTTAGTTGCTGCATTAAAATTTCAGCACATTATTTGTTCACTTTGATTTTTGGGGTGTCTTTGAATTCAGCCCTCTGTAGGTTGATTATATTTAATTTCCATCAAACGATGTGGCATCCTTTCGTTCCTAACACATTACCCAATCCAGTATAGAATAGATATCCAGCATGATATTTTTCCCCACTGAGATCTGATGTGTTTTCAAAGTCTTCCTTTAATTTTTTTGAGCAGTTTACTTTAGGCTGTTAGAAATACTTTAGGATGTTGCATCCTTACTTCTAACCACTAGAGGGGACTGTTACAAAATAAGCTTTTGACTGATACGAATACAGATTTTTTTTCTGAAACCAGATCACATATGGTAGCATAACTTTTATGTACCATCCCAAAGCATTTACGTGCCTTTATATTTGAAGTTAAAAATTAGGACTATGGAATCCAGGCTATGCCCACCTTTTAAATGTCAGCTTTGTCAAGGGTATAGCTAAATTGCTTTAGACCTTCATGCAAAATGTGAACCTCCGAAGACAAGAAAATTGTCCTTTAGCTAATGAACGCACTGTTGTGCCTCATTTGGTCCAGGGAGGTTAAAAATAACAAGAACTCTTGACTTAAAGCTGAGACATAGGTATAAGGTCTGGTATCCACTTTTACCCCTCCTCCCATTGATACTATTACTAATACTATTAGCTTGGCTGCCTTATTATTTTCTATCACTAGTACATACATTATCATGTACTGAAAGTGAAGCACCTCCTTTGAACATCTAAATGATTCAGAGAAGTATTGGGAGAAAGTGCTGTGGTCAAATGAGACCAAAATTGAGCTCTTTGGCATTAACGCTACTCGCTGTGTTTGGAGGAAGAAAAATGCTGACTATGACCCTAAGAACACCATCCCTACAATCAACCACGGAGGTGGAAACATTATGCTTTGGGGCTGTTTCTCTGCTAAAGGTACAGGCTGACTTTGCCGCATTGAGGGGCCAATGGAAAGGGCCATGTATTGTAAAATCTTGGATGAGAGCCTCCTTCCCTCAGCCAGAACACTGAAGATGGGTCATGGATGGGTCTTTCAGCATGACAATGACCCTAAACATACAGCCAAGCCAACAAAGCAGTGGCTCAAGAAGAAGCACATTAGTGTCATGGAGTAGCCTAGCTAGTCTCCAGACCTTAGTCTCCAGACCTTAATCCTATCGAAAATGTATGGAGGGAGCTGAAACTTCAAGTTGTCAAGCGACAGCCAAGAAACCTTAAAATAGTTATTTTACTCATTGAACTGCAACTCAATTTATAACCTTTGTATCATGTGTTTTTCTGGATTTTTGGTTGATATTCTGTCTCTATCATTTAAAATACACCTATGATAAAAATGATAGACCTTTCCTTTCTTTGTAAGTGGGCAAACTTACAAAATCTGCAGGGGGTCAAATAACAATTTTTGTGTGTGTATAAATATAGAGATGGATATGCTAAAACACAGAAAGTCGCTTGCCGAGTATATGGACTCATTCAGAGGACGCCTAGTAATTTCCTCAATTACTAGGCATTCTCTGAAGGAACTGGCTGATGCTAATTTACTGAAGGATTTCATAATCGCATAATATTTTGTGTGAAAATTCACTTCAATTATCCAATGTGAAAAGCAAATATCTGTTTTCCTTGTTCATTCACACACAACCGGGGAAATTAAATGAATGTTTGAACATTCTATACTTCTATAGTTTACCAGCCCCCAATGTCTTTGTTTTTTGCCTGCAATTACACATGAAATAAAAACTCACTAAATGTGTTTGATATTTCTTATAGCAACTTCGTGCCAACATCAAAGAGATGGAAACACTTTTTCTCAAAGTAAGAAATGAAGATATCCTGACCTTGGCAACAGTATTGCAACCAGTAAAAAAATTAGCTTTAGATTCAATAAGTAATTTTTTGGAACTTCACTCAAAATCTGTGGAGAATTTACTCCTAAATGAAGAATGTTTGTCTGAAGAGCAGAATTCCATTTCTAAAGGTAAATGATTCACTTATTTTGTCATCCAGGCTAAGTGGGATTCCTCTAGGGAAATCTTGAGAAGCTGTAAATTTGGACTACTTTATTAGTACAAAGGATGAAAAGTTTACACTTCTGCCCACATATTGCACAAACTGGGTATGTTTAGCTCAGAAAAATGCAACTTTGAGGAGCTTTTAAAATTGTTTTTAAATGTTTTACTTTGTTTTATTTTAATATTTTTTTCACTTAACTTTATTGCTATCACACAGGAGCTAACAAGCCCCTGTGTGGTAGCATTTGGAGGTGACAGGTTCTCTTTATTGTCACAATTACAGGAGTAGCACTTTGCTGGCTCTCCTGTGACAGCTGAGATAGGAAGGCTGCGAATGCAGCTCTTTTTTCTCAGTGTTTACACGGAGCAGAGTGGAGAATGGATGTTCACCGTTCTGGTCCCTGCTTTCCATCCTGAACTTTGCCATGGTCTAGGGCAGGGGCGCCCACTATTTTTCATCTGGAGATCTAGTTTTCAAGTGACGAGCTCATTGAGATCTACCAACGAAAAAACACCTGCATTCAGGGGCAGGAGGGGGCGTGGCGGTGCATTGAAGTCAATGGCACCGCAGCCAGGCTCCGCAGGTAGGCCCCTCGCCCACAGTGCGATCGCCTTCATTAGTGCCTGTGTTCCAGTCCAGTGCGATCCGCAAAAATGCTGCAAACACTATTTTTGCAGATCGCACTGGACCGGAATGCAGGCACTAATGTGCCTGCGTTCCGAGTGCGGGCGATCGCAATGTGGGCGATGCAGGTATTAACTGTATACTAAATGTGTTGCATATTAAACAAAGCCCTGAATAAAAACTTGTTCAGGGTATTTTTTAATTCAAATTACTAAAGAAGCTAAAAAATGGTGTAAAGATCATTTTGGTATTGAGTAAACCAGTGAAGATAATTTTGATATTGTTGAGTAAACCAGAGTGTACTATTTCTTTAAAATTTGGTCTAGTCACAGTGGTTTTGATTACCTTCGGACATGAAAGGGTTCATGAAATTTGAATTTAGGGTTAAATAATTATTGCATACAAGAACACTGAGAAGATTTCACTTCCTGTCCTGGGCACACCGCAGAAGTTATTAAAAAAATATTTTCAAAGTGAATTAGACAGCTGTCCTGTGATAGCTGACATTATACTCACATAATTGAAACCTCTCAGATTGGTTCCCATTATTAGAAGGGTCCAAAGCTGTCAGTAAGAGCCAGGATTGAAAGCCCCCAGTCTCACCAACATGTCGGCTGGCAGCTTTCAGGTGGAGAGAAAGGTATCTCCAGCATGGTGCAACATTTGTATACATAATGGTGAGTAGGACTTCGTGAATCAGTCTGGGTTTGATCTGTGAAGTGTTTGTGGAATCCATGACAAAGTCCAAAAATTGTGAAAATAGATCAAAAGCCCATCAGTCTTTGAGCAGACCATTTTGGAAATCCATTCTGGCCATTTTCAAGACTGAAAAGGCAAGGGATTGTCAAACACACGGCATGGGCACTGCCATAGGGGACAAAAATGCAGGCATAAAATACTGTTCAGCAGGGAGAGATCATCCTTCCATCCCGTTTTTTTGTTTGTTTGTTTTTTTAATGCATTCTGAAAGGGGCAAATGGTAAAAACACCAATACTTTCAACTACATGTTTGGGGGGTGCCTTTTGAACTGTATTTGGTGCTACAGAGCTGGGTGGCAAAACATGACCCACCTCCCGGCTTCCTAGCCAATCAGGAAGCCCCCCCCAATGCAAAGGGGGACTCCAGCAGCTGAACAGCATCTCCCTGCAAACACTCTGATCTCTCCCTAATCTGCTATGAGACTGTCAAATACACTGTGAGTTTGTCTGTGATACCATGTAGATGTAGGCATTTTCAGCAACTTGCAGCAGCAGCACCTCGGTCTCCGTGCCTTTTGTGTTTTGTTCCCGAACTACTCCATGGCTCCTCCAACACACACACAGCTCGGAATCCTGATGCTTGGCCCTTTAAAGCCGCCTGACCACAGTTGAGAGGCCTGGAAGTGCATTGTTGGTAATTTGGTTGCTATGGATGTGAATAGATGTATTAGTTCGCCATTCTTTCAATCTACAAACGGCTTGGGTTCAGGTCACACTCATTGTTGACCTGCACCTAAAATACATCTCTAATTCTTAAGTGGAAAGGGGTTAACCTGTATGTGTGGTATTCTCACTCAAATCTTGAGTGTTGATAGCAAGTAAAGGAATCCCTTTTCATTTTTCAACTACAGGAAGAGCAGACCTGGTACATACATGACTAAAAGTATTTATTTTATTTTACCACATAGAAGGGCTGCATAATTTTTGTGGGGGTGTAAGAGTTTCGCTGGTTTTGGTGTTTACTTTCTAAATTGTAAACTTTCTCTGTAGATTATTGTGTAAAAGATTCTGAGAGTCACGTTGATGCACAGTTTCTACAAATTCAAGATCAGATTGCCTCAGAATCCTGGAATTCACTAGAAAAGGTATAAATCCAATGGGGGGAATTTATCATAGCAATTGTGAGTGTTTGAACTTGCACGGAATATATTTGATGCACTTTGCGCCAGATTTATGATGGTAGTGTAATGTTGTTCATAAATGAGGTTTAATAGACTACAGGCAAAAAGCTTAACTGTCGTTCTTGTAGAAGTGGTCATGGGGACTTCTTAAGTTAAGATTGTTTTGTTAGGTGATGCTCCAGTTTTAGACAGCCGCAAAAAACGCGCAGTTGCAAAAGTAGTGCAAGCTCTGCTCAAAACAGGTGCAAACTGCGTGCAGTTGGGAAAAGTATCAACATGTAAAAGAAAGAGTAGGGCTTTTAAGGTACCAGGTGACAAAACCAAGCAATTACAACATGCTAAAACGAGCATTCTTTATTATACAAAGGTTAAAAACGTTTAAAAATATAATTGGTATATGCACTTTGCAAAAAGGAAAAAAAAACTGATCTCCAAATGAACTATTCCAGAATTATAATGAGGCCAGGTGACCATAACATACAAAACTGATGTAACATATTCTTATACTCATACAGCACATAGATGCCTCTTTAAACAGTTTTAACCCTGTATAATAAAGAATCCTTGTTTTATCATGTTGTAATTGCTTGGTTTTGTCACTTGGTACCTTTTAAAAGCCCTACTCTTTCTTTCTTTTCCATGTTGATTCAATCTATTATGAGTGTGGTACCTTATAATCAGGATCTGGTCACGATAATTTGATTTAACTTTTTTAGTTGGAAAAGTAGTGCAAGCTCTGGTCAAAACAGGGGTACATGTTAAAAGACAGATTTGCACATAAAAAAATGATCTATGAGGCTAATTGCTTTGATAAATTCCCCCCAATGTGTTTGCTTTTACATTTAATTTACTAATTTGAGTTGCTGATTTTACATATGCATGTATATTATCTGATAAATGAAGGATATTGGGCTTTTTTTTTGTATTTTAACGTCCTTTTTTTTTTTCTGTTTATCCTTCTATCCTTAGGATTTACTTGACTTGAATGAAATGGTAAATGAATTTTCGCACCTAGTACATGTAAGTATGCAGTTGTCTTGAATCTCATCTTCTGGAATTTCTAGCTTCCTCCTGTATACAAAGTGATTAGTCAATTACTATGTAATGATCATGTTTTTGTTGCGCTGATTGAATGCTCTGTGCAACACAGGAATATGTGGCAGTGACGGGTATACATAAACACAGATGGCAGAATATGTAAATTGATGAAATGTTATTGTCATAAGAAGAAATAATGTGATTTGCAACTGCTAATTGACAGTAATATTTTTTATACATGACAGGCTAATATAGGTACAGATAATATAATCAGTATGTCACATTCTATCAGCAAGTACCAGTTGTAAATTCATAAATCTCTTCTTTTTACTGCACATGGAAAATATGAAGGGATAATAGGAATATGGAACTTATGCTCAAGTGATTGTGCATTATTTACAGTTTTGTTTTGGATAATGAACCATCCAAAAAATAGCCACAATTTGATACCTGCTTAAACATTTAATTTTTTCCTAAAACCTGCTTCCTTAGTGTGTATGCTTGCTTTGATGCATTGTAAAAGCTGTGGTATTAATGCCGGTTATCACACTGAATTACTTTTGAAAAAGAACACTCCATTGAGCTGTATAAGGGCTAATGTAGCAACTTTATATAATCCAGATGAAGGTAAATGGAGTGACCTTTTTCTGACTTTGGCACCATTTTTCCTGGAAAGTATCATCTGACATGTTTTCATGAACACTCTTAATAAATATAACAAAAAGTACTGTGGGTATTTACATTTGGTATGTGGATATTTTAAAGGAAATATGAAAGCATTGACCTAATAGATCAGCACGGTTGTTGTATGCATATTATAATATGGTCTTTCTTGCTGACATAGTGTAGCTTTGCTCATTCTGACTGCAGAGATCATAGACATGCTTCCATGCCTTATCCTGCAGAATCCCTATCCGATCTCCGAGGAGCCTTATTGACGCTGCTCGCCCAACATTGAAATTTTAGTATCAGCTTTGCATGTCCTTCGAGGGACCTCATTCTGAAGGTTCAGTACCTAGCCGAACTTTTTCAAGGTCCGGATGCTTTTCTCTTGGTTCCAGGTTGGAGCCCTGCCATATGGCCTGTCTTCCACACATTTGGTGTTTTAACAAGGCATTGGCCCCTGTGCTAGCCTTGCTGCACTCCTAGGCCATTTTCATTGTGGGATACATGGACGAACTCCTGTTGAGGGAACAGTTGGCACAGGTTCTGGTTGACCGTATAGCCTGAACCATCCAGACCTTGCAAAGGTTTGGCTAGGTCCTGAATCTTCTGAAGTCAGTGCTGGAACTGACTCATTACTTGGAATATGTGGAGCTCAATTAAGGGTTTTTCTTCCCCAGGAAAAAAATCAAACTCTCTACTTCCAGACCCCTAATTTGCCTGACACCAAAGACCTGGATTATTTCTGATCTGATGGCTCAGGAATTTGCTCTGGAGCTGGGGAAGTCCTTCCTGGACATCCTGTCAGTGCAGGGGACTTGGTCACCACAGGAATCTGGTCTCCCATTTACCAACTTCTGGCAATTTGGTTGCTGGAATGCTGGACACCCAAACTGGACGGTCATCTGATCAGGATTTAGTTGGACAAAGCCACAGCAGTGGCGTACCTCAACCATGAAGAAGGAACCAGAAGTCTTTGAGTAGTAGAAAGGATCCTGTCCTGGCCAGAACGTCATGTACTAGTCTACCATCACCCATGTAAGGCACACTTTACTTATGCAAGGGAGGGAACTTTCACCCCAAGAATTTCTTTGTGGGACAAATCCTATCTGCCCGGATCAGCATTTAGCCTTCAGTACCATTTAAGGGTTAGATTTTTTTCATTCGCGATCTTGTTCCAAAGACCAATAGCTTTCCATTCTTTGATGAAAAATTGTGTACGGGATGTCTGTCATGTGACTCCCCCTGTGTGCTTCACTGTGACTGATTTTCTTGTTGCCATCACCGCTGTAAGGTAAGTGTCTAAACTGTGAGCTTTATCTGTTAAAAAAACACGTTCTGGTCTTAAATAAGGACAAGGTGGTGCCCAGAACTTCTTTCCTACATAAGGTAGTTTTGGCCTTTCCTCAACCAGGACATTTTTTGGTCCAGCTCCAATTCATCAGAAGGATGCCTGGATGTAATTGTGTTGTGCATATCTACCTGTAACATGCATACCTTCTCTTCGTTCTGGTACCAGCAGGTGGCGTCGCCTCTCTCTCTGACTCACAGCCACGTGTCATGCAGCTTCGCCTTCCTAGCTGGCTTAAGCCAAGGAATTAAATTCCCAGGTGTGAGCAAGGTACTCATGCTGGCAGCAGCACTTTCTCACCGCTTCCATCCTGACCTTGCAGCCTCACAGACATTCTTATACCTTGGGCGTCCCTGCAGCTCCTACCACCCTGAACTTACCAGAGCTGTTAATGCTCTACATCCTGAATCCTGTGCAACTTCCTTTTGGAGTCAGACTTTAGCTGAATTACCCTGGAATTCTGCAGTTCATCTAGGAGCTTGTCCAGTGAGTTTCCTGCATGTTGTTTCCAATAGCAGCCACTCCCACTCAGCCTTGAGAATTTATTTTGCTACTCAGGAACTCCAGTTCCCTTTCTGTGAACTTCAACTAGAGAACACCTGATGCTGTGCTTTGGACTTGCTTCACTCTCAATTGCAAGTATACCTCCTATTGATTTTGTGAACATATTCATGAACTGTGTCTATAAGGACTTTTATCAGTAACACTTGTATCAAGTCAAGTGACTTTGTGTACTCCCTATCCACAAGTAGATTTTCCACACTGATCATGCATACTGAATCATGAACTGTGTCTTTGTGACTTGAATCTTTAGTTGAATGCAACTCTGATCTGGACACCTATATACCTGCACCATAGATAGACTCAAGACATTCTAACCCTGTGCATATTATGAACTGGGTATCTAATGGAGTTCATATACTGTATAAACTTCACACCTAATTATTGTTATATATAAACATCACAGTTAATTATTGTAACTAATAGATTTATTGTCCAACACCACATCTATTGTCCCCCCAGCGCCATATTCTTCACAACATTAGGGGTACAGGAACGGCAACTTCCACAAGAGGGCAGCACCTTGACAGTCAGGGTAACTGGAGATTTAATAAGCAGGGACCACAAAAACAATGTGCCTCCCTTGTGTAAAAGTTTTTATTTAAAAAAAGGTAAAAAGTAGAGCTGCGGAAATTAACGATTAATTCCTCGATTAATCGTTAATTTTTTTTATCGATTAAAATAATTTTGATCGGTACTCACCGGCTTCCAGGTCTTCCAAGAGTTCCGTTGCAGATCCGGTGACGTCACGGACATCGCCGTCACTGGACTCCTCCCCCCTTCCCCAAGTGGCTCCGTCGGCTCACGAAGGGAAGGGGGGAGGAGTCCAGTCACGTCACAGTCTGTGACTCTAGTTGAGTGTATTCGGATCCATTCAGACAGCTCGGTTGCCTTCTTGTGTGGGACTTGGTGTATTCTCTTCTCTGTTGATGTCATGGAGATCTGCACATGTGCTGTTCTGACAGAGCCAGCCCTGGGGAATAGTGCAGGGGGGTTAATTAATGAGTGGCCCCAGGTTGGACGCTGCAAGCTATGTCAGATCTTGCTTATAACGGCATATACCCCATAGGGGAAGGCGGTGAGGAAGGAGAGACGGGGGCTGTGCTAACTCAGTCAATGTGTTTCCATTTTATATATTTTCTGCTTCTGGGTTTTGTCTGGTTAACACATGGGAGCTTGGTGTTTGCAAGTGACAGCTCTAGATTATTGCCCCTCCTGTCAGACAGGTCACTGGGGGCAGCTCTGCTCCCCCTCCCAGCGAGGGATAACTCAACAATAACTCTTTATGTTCCAAGTACCTGTACAAGTGGTATTGCATTACATCCCAGCAAGGCTGCCTTTGTAAAAACAGGGTTAATCTCAATTAAAGTCACAAAAGGAGATGGTAGATTTCATTTTGCAGGGTGTGTAGCTTAGACATTGAACATCACCCCTTTATCTGCCTGTCTGTCGCTGGAATTATGTTATTATTTATGGCTGTGGAAATTAACCATTAATTCCTTGTGCGTTATGATTAATCGAAATTATTCGATTAATCGATTGTTAAAAAATTTGATTAATCGAACACGAAAATTTTAATCATTACCAGCCCTAGTAAAAAGCAATAAATGTATTCACAAGCAAGTATTCAATATAGAATCTTCATATGAACAATCCTGTTAGCACTTGGCAGAAACCTCGGAACTTGCTTGGAACTAGGATCCTTCTGACTGCATGTCAGCCTAGGTTAACGGGTTTCCCATGACATGCCCCCTTTATCAGAACCTAGCAGCCCTCTTTTCCTCTGTGACCGATAACTAAGGTAGTGTCCAATCAGGGACCGTCATCAGAGTCGGGGTGACTCCTGGGACTTGTCTCTGTTGTATTAATAGGTTACAGCTGAGCGAGTAGAGAAGCGGTTGACAGCAGTTGTATCATCTCTTCAACCACTGTCAGGAGAGCTGTATGAAGCTCCGCCCAATGGCCAATCATAGGGCGAGGACGGAGTAGATGTCCTCAGATACTAGTACATGGGGCACGTCGGCTGTTACCGCAAAGCCGAGGTATCGGCCCTGATGTCCATACAAACGGAGAGAGGCATCATGAAATCTGAAGGCTACCAAAGAAGTCTGGGGTGCAATGTAGGGCCCAGTGTCAGAAAGTTGGGTCTCCATCAGAGGTCATGGGTCTTACAGCAGTACAATGACCCAAAGCACCCGTCAAAAAGCACCCAGAAATGGTTTTAGACAAAGCGCTGGAGAGTACTGGACTGGCCAGCAATGAGTGCGGATCTAAATCCCATAGAGCACCTGTGGAGAGATCTCAAAACATCAGTTGGGAAAAGGAACCCTTCAGATCTGAGAGACCTGGAGCAGTTGGCAAAAGAAGAGTGGTCCAAAATTCCTGTACAGCGGTGTAAAAAACTATTGATGGTTACATGAAGCGATTGATTTCAGTTATTTTTTCCAAGGGCTGTGCTACCAAATATTAATTGAGGGTGCCAGTAATTTTGTCCAGTCCATTTTTGCAGTTTTGCATGGAATTTGTACGATTTGGCTTTTTTTTTTCTCCTACTGTTTGTGTCATATCAATACAAACAAAATAAATAAACATTTGCAATTGCAACAATTTTCTGCCTGAAGTGGTGCATTATCTGACAGAATTGCAGGGGTGCCAATATTTATGAACGTCGATGTCTGTGACGTCACCGGATCTCCGACGGAAGACCCGGAAGCCGGCGGAGAGGTGAGTACTTTGATCGATCAAAATTATTTTGATCGATCAAAGAAATAACGATTAATCGACGGATTAATCGTTAATTTCCGCACCCCTAGTGTGTGTGTGTGTGTGTATACATGTGTGTGTGTGTGTATATATGTGTATATATATATGTGTGTGTGTGATATATATTGGTGTATATGTATATACGTATATACACACGGCCCTTTGCTTGCCCATAGCTGGCCCTTGGGGCACTGACACCAACGATGAGGCACTTTTCTTTCTACTGACACCAACAATAGGTCAACTTTTCCTGCTGTTGACACAAACCATGGGGCACTATTCTCAATGACAGTAACTATTGTGCTCTATTCCCCCAACTGCTATTTCTCACACCAATGATGTGGCACTATTCCTCCCACTGATATCACAAATGGTGGCAATATTCCCTCCGCTGACACCAATAATGGGGCATTATTACCCCTCCCATTAACCACAGACACTAGGTCATTTAATTTTTTACTCTCGCTGCATTTCTTGACTAGTGGCTACTCTGTCTGGTGCATTACCCCTGATGCAAGGGCAATTTCTACTTTCACTGGCCAGTCTGGTCCCCCTAAGGCCCAAAGTACAGTGAACTGGCCCTTTTTTTAGAACATTTGAAGAACTCTAACTTGGACCTTTACATATGGTTTCTTCTCTTCACTAGCTGGCAATAATTGGTGTCTGTGGCAGGGGACAGAGCTTCTATTGCTGGCTGTTGTACTTAAAGGTATATGCTTTAGGGTTCTCATCCTTCTCCTTCATTCACTATTTGATGAGTCACTGAAACAAGCATGTGTATATCGGATTAGAAAATAACAGGCGATTGTTTAGGGCTCCAGTGACTAGTAATAAAGCAAGGATAATGGTCAGCCATGGAGCATGCACTGTCAAGAATTCAGTGACAGAAGCTTCCGTACAATTTTTCTTACTAAAAAAAAATAATTATAAATTGTATATGTTACAAATCAATGCTGTTAAATGTTTCACTGTATATTAATGGAATCTAAACAAAACATTTTGTTTTAAAACATGTTGATGGCTTAAATTTAAATGTTAAAGCAACAGCGGAAAAGGAAGATGGATGTCTAATGGTTAAAGCTTTAATTTTAATTTCTTCCTCCTTCCAGCACTGTTTATCAGGTGCTATTAGTGAGCTGCCATTAACAGCTGTGCGGCTACACAGTGCTGCAGATGAAAGCTGCTGCAGGGTCCCTGATTACAAAAATTAAATAGTGTGTATTGGATTTCTGCTGCTTCTCAGCAGGAAATCTCACTCATAATTCCTTTGCATCTAGACTCAGCAGGAGAAGATTGACAGCATTGAAGACCATGTCAACACTGCTGCTGTGAATGTTGAAGAGGGAACCAAAAACCTGGGGAAGGTAGGGATATTTTCCTGCTGTTGAATCAATGGTACTCTGCCTACTAGCAATCTTCTGTATTAACCCAATTGATCTGCCGTCTTTAATGCTGAGGGAAACAGCAATTAAGGAAATAAGAAAGGAATGACACATGGGTAGGAAGGAGGGCTTAGTACAGAAGAAATCAATCTCTGCTGTGATATGCTATCACATTCATTCTTTAAGTACTAAGAAGCAGACATCCTGCACTTGGCACAAAGTTAAGAGATTTAAAAAAATAAATAAATTCAGAGTTAAGATTTTGCTGAATGGTGAGGGTGCCCTGTATCATAAGTTGGTGGTATGGCTGCGCAGTGAATGTTTAGTTACTGGTTTGTGATACAGGATCACAGACCAGTTCATAAAATAAAACAAAACATGCATTCAACATATTTATTACACCTACTGGCGTATGCTTACTTTTAAAAACACAGTTTGTCATATAAAGAAACTAGAAATAGTGGGTCCGTTCAATAAACGTGGTGCAATTCGGAAGTCTTGAAGGAGAACTATGGGGTTAGGCCCCATAGTTCTCCTAAGGGTAACGGGAGGACACAAACTCGCGTCCTACCGTCACCCAAAACTCAGTATACCGCGAGCTACGGCTCGCGATATACTGAAAAGCCGCAGCCGGGACAGATCCAGACTTTACTGTCGATCCAACCAGCTGCGTGATTGACAGCTGGCTTTGCCTATCTAGAGGCAGAGTCAACTGTACCCGCCCCTCCCCCATCCATTCCGCCAGTCAGCGCTGGAGGATCGGACAGGGGAGGGGGGGGAATCCCTGCAAGAGCCGTGAGTGACAGTCACGGCTCTCTGCAGGGATAGATCGAGAAGTGAGCGAGCGACGGTATGTGTTCGCTTACTTCCCAATCTATTGAGCTGACGTGTAACAGTTTCATTGTCGCAGGTCAGCTTGAACTATGAGGCTGAGTGATTTTCACTCGCCTCATAGTTCTCCTTTTAATGGTACAAATAACTTATTTTACTTTGAATATACTGTGAGGTTTAGTGGTATAGAAAATATAACACAGAGCACAGGGTTCAGAGTGGAGTAGTATGTTATATAACTGCACAGTGTACAGAATGGGGCAGTCTGAAATATGTCAATTATGGCACAGTGTATGGAGAAGGCACCCAATTATTATGCAGTCACATTATGTCTCAGGACTCCCACCAGTGAATCGCAGGCTGCACCTTTCCAGACTGCAGGCAGATCTGCAGGTCCTGGCCAACAGCATTCATTATCCACAGGCCTCCACTTTCCTCTTAATACTGCACATTAATAATGCTGCCACATTCATTCCTATGGGTACACCTTACTCAGAAGGACTGCTTGAGGCTGCCATAAATACAGCGACCCATAGAAATGAATAGGTCTGCAGTATGCACTGTGCATTTTAAAGTGGGGCCAGCTCAGGGCCATATCAGAGTAAAGACTGAGGAGGAAGGTATTATCCCATGTGGGCTGCACTCAAGGGATTGGGGGTTTATCTAAACATATCTTGCCTAAAAATTAAGTTGTCTTTCATAGGAATATTGGGGGATGGAGAGGAACTATAAAAAAGGATTTTTGTACTCTCCATAAAATCCTTTTTCTTGAAATCTATTGGAGCACACCGAAAATCATTAACCTTTGGGTTATACTGCTGCCTACAGGAGGTTAGGACTAGAGGTGCACCGAAATAGAATTTTCAAATTGAAACTAAAAATTTGTCAGGCCGAAACTGAAAATTATTATTTTTTCTAACTTTTTTAAAAATAATTTTTTACTGTCGGGGGGGTCTCTGGTGAATTATCAAAGGTCTAAACCAGGGGTCAGCAACCTTTTACACACCGAGTGCCATTTTTGCAACCATCAGACAACTGAGTCTAAACAGACACCTTATATTTCACAAACACTCAGTAATCAGCTGATCGCTGAGTGCTTGTAACTAAGGGTGCACCGAAATGAAATTTTGAGACCGAAACCAAAAATAAAAAGTCAGGCCGAAACCGAATTTTTTTTTTTTCTTTAACCTTTTTTACATAAAAAAAAATTTTTGGTAAATATTTTTTTTTTTTACTTTAGTGTTGGGGCTTCAGTGAAATATCACAGGTCTAAACAGGCTCTTGATGTTTCCCTTTTACAATAGTAAAAGAGATTGAGGACACAGAGTCCTCAATTTCTTTTTCTGCAGCCCCAGCACTGAATGAACAGAATTCCTTGGTGCTGAGTGTTCCTGTTACTTCATAAACTGTGGTTATAATATGAGTTACCATGTACACAATCATGAATAAAAAGGAAGTGATGTAGATCACTTCCCATTTATTCAAAACATGTACGTAGTAACTCATACTGTGTCCAACTATTTACAAACATTCAGCGATCACTGATTGTTGAATGTTTGTATACCGCTCTCCATCCTGGATTGGCCTCACAGGAGGCTGTGCGGGGAAGAGAGCTCAGCCTCATTTCATGGCAGACTCCTCCCCTCACTGCCAGCTCGGTCTCCTATGACAGCTGTCTCCGCCCACACAACGCTTTCTCTCCTGATCTGTTACAGGAGGCTGAGTGAGGCGGGAGGAGAGGTCGGCCGCCTGTGACAACACTGAAAGCACACTCCTCCCCCCGCCCTGCTGAACCTAAAGTCATATATAACTGTAGTAAAAACCTTCTCTGAGGGGGGAACAGAAACCGTAACACCCGATGGAGCCACAGAGGACACTGAGGAGGGTGTAGACTCCAACACTTAATGGCAAACGACACCATGATATGTGCGTTAGCACCATCAAGGGACCCTAACCCCTTAGTACAGTAAGCAAAGTACAAGTTAAGAGAGTAGGCTTTGCATACTCATGGTACCTGGGAAACTAGCTACTAGACAATGCTCAAGTTTGGAGGGTTGGGTGGCCGGTGAGGTGACCAAGCGGTCTATGTGGCTCCCTAGAAGGTGCAGCTGTGGGAAGATATTCCTTCGATGTTGTTTGGCACAAATAAGGCCACATAGTGCATGGGCATGACATTCCATTTAGTGAAAGGATGTCCATCCCACAGCATTAAACCCTTTCCTAGACAGGCCGGTGGATAAGGGGAAATTCAAAATACACACCCAGCAATTGTTGTAACTTAGGGAGCTCCTAGTGCCCAGTCCGAATGGCCCACTTACAGAAGTTAGTCTTCAGAGAAAGAGCAAGTACAGAGGCAATGCTAACAGCTCTGGCTTCAGAAAGCATGCTGCAGTTAACTTGGCCAGAACTAGTCTGGAAAGCGCTCAAGTGGTGCGCTATTGCTGAAGGATCACTGCTAGGCTCACCCCACGATGTCTGATCCAGAGGGGTCCGATGATAGACCAAAAGTCGAATATGAGCAATGTTGTGCCGGGTAGCTGCAAGAAGGCAAATATAGGTGGCAGTATTACCCTAAGGTTTCACTTCCTGTGTCCTTCAATGGACAAGAAAAATAATTAGTTGTAAATTGTCGCTTGTAAATTAATATTGTCTACTTAAGAATGTATCTTTTATTTACCCTTTTAGGCATTAAAATACAAGCTGTCAGTGCTTCCTGCAGCAGGTGCTCTCATTGGTGGTATCGTTGGAGGTCCAATTGGCCTGCTGGCAGGATTCAAAGTAGCAGGTGTTGCAGCTGCGATTGGTGGTGGACTTCTGGGCTTCACAGGTGGAAAAATGTTACAAAGTAAAAAAGGAAACATTGTAAAAGAAGAGAACTGCAATACAAAGGATTCTCTCCAAGAAGAAAAATCTGCCTAAAGGACATGCAGTGCCGTCATTTTAAGGGATAACTTTTATTGGTAGATTAAAACTGCAAACTTTTGAGGCCACTCGAGGCTCTTATTCAAGTGTAGTAAAACCACCGTAATTTGTGTGCTGTTTATGCAACAAAGAAAAGTAGAGCTGTTGCTTACAGTGACTAATCACATTCCTAGTTTCTTCCCACTGTAATTTGTAAACAAAGTGACCCCTGAGAGGTAAGTGTAGACTGCAGCCCTGTTTTCTCTTTGTTGCAGAAGTCATAAGTAAGACCCAACATTTCTCAGACCTAAAGTATGATTTGCAGCTATGTTTACAGAATATATTACCATTTTGGTTCTTTTAAACAACTGACAACACACACTAAAAGTCTAAAAAGTAATGACCTTAAGGAAGGGTTCAGTAACAAGGTATTTATTAGTAATTGTAGTGGCTCTATGCATTTTTGATTACCTTTTTAGTAATGGCATTTTATTGCACAAAATGTAAATTAAATTTTTTAGATCTGTATTTAAAGTATAGTGTCGTGTTCACATTAAAATGTCAAATTAATTGTTAATATTCTAAGACAACATTTATGTTTCAAATTCATAGAGGAATACATAGAGGAACTCAAGAGGAATACACAAGCTGTCATTCCGGACTCGCATCTAAAAATCTTACTTGCCTAGCTCTCTGACTTCACTGGATACATAGTACATGTACTCGGTGCTGCTACAAGTCAGTCACTTGAATCCGCTAACAGGGTGCAAACACCAGCTCGCAATCGGCCCCAAAATATACTGTAACTGTAAGGAAATACGGCACTCCTGTGTCATTTGAAGATCGGTGTGTAAACTTTAACAGCTTGCCATCTGCCCGTTGTAAATAAACAGTCGGACGGCAACCTCCTATCAGCAGGTTTTCCCTAAATCTACGTCTTCTTTTTTTTTCCCTGAGATCAGATTCCCACAGAAGATGTATACAGCCATTACCGGCTGTTCCATACAAGCCTTCGGGCGGCTCTACAGCTGTCCGATAGCTTGTATGTTAACAAAGCGTATGCTGGCACACTAAATGCCGGACTGGCACACTAAACAGAGGAGAGGTCAGCATTTTTCCTACTTGCTGAACTCTCCTCCGATCTCTAAAGGCGGAAGTGATGTGTATTACATCATTTCCGCCTTTAGCTGTCATTTCTCTGGCTGCTAGTCAGAGAAGAAGCTGGTGAAGCAGATCTCTGCTTTATTATCTTCTTTGGTGACACTAAAGGTCTTAGAAACCCCTGATGTCTCCATAAAGAGGACCTGTCATTGTATATTTGCTATCGATAACAATATTGCTAAGTGAAAAAAAAAATCAGTCACATATCAAAAAAAAAAAAAAGTTTAAGTCCCCTGCCCCCTCGTATAAATGTAAAGACACGTCGGGCTCACCTACGTGCGAAAACCGATTACACCATACATGTTAAATATCGCTGCAGACGTCAGAGTGCAAGCAATAATTCTAGGGCCATCAATCACTGCTGCCATTAAACTGATGAGCGGTAAAAGCGCACGCAATTTAAAAGCTTGACATGTTTGGAGTCTATTTACCGGAAGTGACCCCGTCTTTTATATTGTACCAAAACATTTTGGGTGGTAATAAATGTTTTATAACATTAGGTAGGGAAAACAAAATTGTTTGTACTTTTTTCATATAGTAAAAAAAAAAAAAAAACCCCAGTGGTGATTAAATACCACCAAAAGAAAGCTCTATCTGTGCCCCAAAAAATTGGATAAAATTCATTTCAGCGCTGAATACAAAAAAAAATGGCCTGGACAGGAAGGGGGTTTATCGCCCAGGTCATCAAGTGGTTAAATCCTCAATCGGCATACAACCTATGCTTCGGACAAAATCTCTAACGCATTTCACTCATACTTGCCCTTCATCATAAATCAGTGATGGCAAACCTTTTTGAACCAGAGTGCCTAAACTGCGACGCAAAATCAATGTATTTATCTCAAAGTGCCAGCGCTGAAAATAAGTTTAGTATTGCAGTTTGGGCGCTCGGGTTTAAGAAACGTTCAACATCACTGCCTTAGGCAAAATAGAGAAACCCGCATATTCAAACATTAAGGCCCCATTCACACTGAGCGACACTCACCTGGGTAGATCCTGCAAAGCCCCCATGAGACCCTGAAGTCTGCCAGATCTCAGAGGGGCTGTGCAGGATCTGTGGTGGGCTTTTCAGGCGGCAGAGCACTCTACGGATCCTGCAAAGCTCCCCCCATATCCTGCAGAGACCCTCTGAGACCCTGCAGTCTGCCGGATCTCAGGGGCGCTGTGCAGGATCTGTGGTGGGCTTTGCATATCCTGCACAGCCCCCCTGAGATCCTGCAAAGCTCCCCCCATATCCTGCAGAGACCCTCTGAGACCCTGCAGTCTGCCGGATCTCAGGGGCACTGTGCAGGATCTGTGGGGGGCTTTGCAGGCTCCAAAGCCCCCCACAGATCCTGCAGAGACCCCGCAGTCTGTCAGATATCAGGGGGGCTGTGCAGGATATGTGGTGGGCTTTGCAGGCTGCAGAGCCCCCCATGGATCCTGCAAAGCCCACCAAAAGGTATTGCACAGCCCACCTGTGACTCTTTGGTGGGCTGTGCATAATCTATGCTGGGCCCTGCCAGCACAGTGCTCCTACCTTACACGGGAAGCCCAGCCTTCAGTGCTGCCTCGGCGCCCAATCGCCTCAGCTTCGCCGCTCGACTGGCCCCTTGGCGATGCCTCCTCCATCGGGGTCTCTGCCTTTGCCTCCTCAGTCTTCACAGGCTTCTTCCATCTCCCCCTGTCTCATGCCGTTCCGTCCCCGTCTCCCCGTGTCCTCTTTCGGAGGACTTCTGTCGGCAGCCATGAGTTTAGTTGTGCTATATGAAAGAGTAGGGCCATGGCATGCAGTGTGAAGAGGAGCCAGCTGGAAGTTTTCTTTGCAAAAGCTGTGCAGGTCTGAGCAGGACCACACAGTGATCATTGATGGACCACGACTGAAGGTAAATGAACCAAAGATGCAAAAGTGAAGATGTACTTAAAAGCGTAATTAAACTGCTGGGTGCTTGGTGGGCTCATACCATAACGTGCAAGTATGCACAACATGTGCTGTGTAATGCAGGCTCTGTCCCCTCCCCTCCAAGCCATTCTTTTTGGCCATTGAGAAGCCACTGATGATGTAAATCCTGTGTATGTGCACAGGAGTTACATCAGCCCCGGAACCCTTACAGATGCCAGAAAGTCAGGGGTGTACACAGCACGGTGCATGCACCACACAGTGTACAAAAAAATGACATAATTACTAGGGAAGAAGTAATAGGGCAGTTAAGAAGGGAGTCCGGAATGCACTGGATCGCATAGATCAATTGGGGCGGGAGGGGGCGTGGCGGTGCCATTTGTGTCAATGTACAGGAATGCCCTCCGTTCCGGTGCAGTGCAATCAGAAAAAGTAGTGTATGCAGAATTTTTTCAGATCGCACTGGATCGGAGGACCTTGCGTTCCAGTGCACATGATCGCACTGCGGGCGGGGGCCGTGTCTGATGCCATTGACATAAATAATACCGCCACACCCCCTCCCACCCTAGAACGGGGCCCGACTTAATCTATGCGATCCAGTGCATTCCAGGCTCGAACCGTGCCAGTATGCACTGTATATGGTGACAGGGCCTTTAGGATTTACATTAGGGTTATGGCTATGAGGGGTTTATGGTGCACTGTGTGGACCCTCCGATGGCTATGCAGGGTCTAGGATGGTCTGTGCAGGCGATATGCTGGCTTGGGAGGACTCTCAGGTGCGCTATGGGGGTTCTATGGTGGGCTGTGCGGATTCTCAAGTGGCTATGCGTAGTCTATGGTGAGCTGTGCGGGCAATATGTTGGGCTGTGCAGATTCTCAGGTGGCTGTACGAGGCCTATGCTGGGCTGCGCGGGCGATATTCTGGGCTGTGCAAGCTCTTACCAGGGTCCCGATCGGCACTTTGTATCGGGAGACATTTTCACCAGTAACGGTGCAAAGTTTACATACACTTTAAAGAATTTGACACTAGGAACTGTATGGTATAATGGGCCAATAGCCCAGTGCAATAACTGTGTGAATAATGCGTTTTTATGAACCAATTTCAGTTTTGTATGCGTGCCAATAGGTTCTATTTCCTGGAATTCCATTGGTAAAATTAACTGGATTCCCCAAATATTTGTTTACATAATTATATAGTATTTGAGGTTGAATAAAGACATTAGTCCATCAAGTCCAACAAATGGAAAATCCAAGGGAAAGTTCAAGCCTATCATTAGATTTTGATAGCCAAGTGCAGCAACACACCTGAAGCCCAAACTCTCCAATGGTAGGAGGCCCCCAAAGTATAACTACTCTTAATTTATTGCTATATGTCCCAAATTTGAAGCTCATATAGAGACCCTACATTGCAGAGGTGCCTTTATGTGTGCAACAAAAACCTTTTTATTTGAATGTTGAAATAATGCAAACCGTTTTTTTCCCCTTTAAACTGGGCTGGAGCTGTAGCAGGAATGTTGTAATGTACTTGAATGCAAAAATTGAATAAACAGAATTTATAATAAAAAAAACACTGGGCTGGAGAGTGTGCTAGGGTTTTATTTATTGTTTTGTGTGTTCCTTCTCTTTTGTTAGAAACTGATCTAAGCAGTTGCCATTTTTGCTTTGTTGGATTTCTCCCCTTAATGCATTTGTAACAGTTAACTGTTTAAAAATAATTATAACTAATCCTGATTAGAAAATATATAAACTAAAGTTTATAATGAAAAACAGAGGAAGCCAAAAAAATGAGCACATCAGAAGGGAATTAACCTGTCTGTCTGCTGGGTCCTGTGACATTTAGGGAAAGTGCCGCATCTCCAATGTTATAAAGAAGGATCTTATAATAAATATTTGCCTTGGTTTCCGAACATGCAACAAGATAATAGCTAGTTTCAGTGTCCTAGAGCAAACAGTTGCATATTTACTCACTCCACCCAGCAGGTTGCTCTGTGCCAGAGATAGCATTCATTATACACTGTTGATCAAGTATCTTATACACCTACCTAGAAGGCTGCCCTGCTCCACATCATATTATCCATTTTGAGTGATGCCTATATAGTGTATACAAGAGGCCTTTCACAGCAGTCAGGTCAGTTGACATTTAAAGGAAGAATATTCAGCCTTGAGCAGAACATACTGCTTTATTTATCAGAATACCAACTCACCATAATATTATTTTCTTGAAATCCAGAGAGGGACACAGTTTCAGCCCTCTGTTTATGGTCTCAGTACTGCTTTGCCGTAGAACTAAGGCATGCTGGTAGCAGTAGAGGTTATCCTGGGCTGAAAATCTTTACTTACTTTCCTGTCAGGAGAGACAGCCTGTAATGTGCACTGGAGGATGCCAAGAGGTTGAATTACAAAAGGAAAATAGGCTGTACACTTTGCAAGGGAATTTTAGCTTAGTGAATGTGTCCTCCATCATCCAATCATGTGCAAGCAACAATTTTCTTTTTCTCTTTGCAAATGATTGGGTATTCTTTGCAATTCCCTTTGAATTTTCACATTCTCTAAGCTAAGGCAAAAATTTATTGCAACGTGAATTTGCCTTTGCTAAATCAACCCCTATGAGTCTCACTTGCACTGTTTACCCAAAGGGAAATTCACTGGCATCAGGTTCCTCTCTACTGGTAACATGTGGTCATGGCAAAAATGCTACAGAAAAGTTGTATTGTATCCATTTCATCGATCTCTTTGCCTTAAGAAAAGGAATCCTGAGAGGTCGGGTTGTGGTGCCCGTTTTCTTTTAATAAAGGACAAGATTATCACTATACCAAAAGGTGTGCCGTTGAGATTTTACACAATCTCTTTTGATATGGAGTTCTAGTCCCGTTACCCTAGAGGTCGGGGGTGTAAGGCTTAGGGCTTTCCCTTGTAGCCCAGCTGGTTATTTCAGAAGGCACTTTTTGTTTAGGCTCCTGTTTGCAGCCCATTCCTTCCAGGCTACATCATGTGGATCTTTACTTCCCTATATAGAAAATAGTTGTTGTTCCACCAGTCTTTGGTGGGTTCTTGCGGCTCAGCTGCTCCGATTCAAATTAGTGTTCCCTTCCCTCGGCGGAAACCTTTTTATTTTTCTCTTTTCTTCAAGTCCATTAAAAAAAGGGCACAGGTCCCAGCCCGGTGTTTATGTTCATGATCTTGGTACTGCTTTACCGCAAAACTAAGGCATGCTCGGTAAACTAAAAGTTATATGAAGGCTGGCTAACAATTTTTGTGTGCCAGTGTCCAATCCTCATTTAGGCAGCAGTATAACCCAACTTTAGTTGAATTCCTATGTCCCTTAATGGTCTCCAAGAAAAGGATTTTACAGCAAGTACAAAATTCCATTATTGTAACGAGACTAACATACTTATAACACCAGCGATATAAATGCCATATTCTTCCCACATAAACTACGATTTTGCTGTGACCTGCCTAACCTAACTCTGTTGCAAAAGTAAACCAAAATGAAGGCCGCTGACATTATCTCTAACAAATCATCCAGGCTCAAGTGCAGGAACGTACACAGAAAGTACTCTCATGTGCTCTACATGTCCCAGAATTCAATGCACCTAGGGAAGTTTAGCCCACCAAATAGCTTAAAAGATGGGTGGAACAAAGAGTGGGGGCAGATTGCTTGAAAATGCGAATGTTAGAATGTTGCTCGTTTACTGGGTATTTTCAGCTTCACCCAAGTGTGTAATGCCAGAGATGCTTGCATCACTTTTCTGTTCAGGGCTACGTAGGTAGAATGGGGAATATGTAAATGCTGCTAAATCTCCTCACCAACTTGCTGACAGATGGGTGGAATAAACAGGGATATTAGGAAGAAGCGAGTTTCCTCCGGTGTACTCAATGCTGAGACTTGTAGAGCATAGGGTAGTACATTCCTGTGTACTTATATCCCCCACAGGAGCATGGATGGTCAGTTAGTGATTAAGGCAGCAGCCACCTTTTTGGATGATTTTAGCAAAACAGTTAAGTTGGGCAGACCATGATAAAACCTTAAAGTCCATGTGGGAAAAAAAAAAAGTATAGCATTTATATTGCAAATTAAATACGTGATCTAGGCTCATCATAATATTGTTTTTGTAAAAACAAAAAAGGTGCAGTTGAGCTCTCAGCGATTGCAAAGCTCATCGGCTTCACTTGAACATGCATGTGTAATGTACGATTGTGTAGACCTGCACGGATTTTGGACTGGGTTCCCCTGAAATTCTAGACGATTGTATCTTGTGTTCACTCACATGTAACCCAGAAACACAAAGAAAACAAGCTCACAGAACACATCCCAAAAAAAAAAAATCCAATTTAATGGGGTGGGGAGTGCAATTGATCAGCTCATGGATATTGTCATGACACATTTGAGTTATAAAACGGGACTGCTTGTTTACAGGGTTTGAATTTGTATTCTATCCATTTAAAAGTCTGTACAGAGAGAAACCACTAACACAAAACATATTTACAAACAGTGGGACCAAATAAAAATAAACCATTCATTACTGTTTGTTTATCCCAAATAAAAAATACAATTATCAAAATATAGGCTAACTTTATTTGCCGTACTGAAACTTGATCATGGTATGTTAAGGCTTCAAGGTAGTTCTAAGTGTTTAAAGCTCATCACGGTCCCTTTTCAGTATGGTGTACCTATATTCACTTGGTGCCAACTTCTGAAAAGAACTTTCAGGAGGATCACTTGCTACATCTTGAGTTTGCTAAAAGAAAAAAACAAATGGTAAATTAATTTTACATTTTTTTAAAAGAACGGCTTCTTCATATCCAGAAAAACATCAATGTTAAATATATTTTCATGGTTTGTGGCACTTACCACTTTAGAACTTCATGAACCATGCCAAGATGGGGCAGTAAACAAGTGTGTGGTGTGGCTAGAGAAATTGAACTCAGGTGTGATAAACCAGAGTTAAGTTATGTTTTAACAATAATGTGGAATTGTTCAAGAAACTTTTGGACGATTTCTTAAGGGACCGTAATATACAGGGGTACAGGTAATATACAGGGGTACAGGTACTCCTAGAATGAGATCCTAATAGGTTGGACTTGATGGACTAATGTCTTTATTCAACCTCAAATACTATGTAACACGGGGGTCAAACACTTTTTCACACAGGGCCCTGTGGGTTTGGATTTTGTTTTCCCTTAATAATAAAAACTTTCCTTTAAAAACTGCATGTTGTGTTTACTGGTGTTTATCTTTGACTAATATTTAAATTTGTTTGATGATCTGAGACATAAAGTGTGACAAACGTGCAAAACAATGAAAAATCAGGAAGGGGGCCAACACTTTTTCACACAACTGTACTTGTTCTCTCAGGGGTCTCAGTTTATTGAACTATACCTGTCCAGGTGCAACATCAGTCGGATCAGGGCCATGGTGAAATTCTCTGTGTAGCTTTCCAGAGTGTAGATCCAACACAAACTGCTTTAGTTTACCAGAGATCCTGACAAAATATTTATTCCAAAAGTGCATAATGTTATATTTGATACATAAAAACCATGCTGCACTCATCAACATTTACAGTATATCACATCATTATAGACATCAAGAGGCAATTCAAAAACTTTGCAAGTTCTATTTCAGGATTTTGCACCTCTGACCCCTACGCATAAACTTTCTATGTGTAAGTGCATATCTCAGGGAGGTACCAGACCAGCATCCAAGAAAACAAATTTTTTTTTTTTTTAATAATCCCAGACCAGACCAAAAGCAGGCACCAGAAATAGGATATTTTAAATCGATACTTTTCTATCTTCTGTGTAGTTTACCGAAACTAGTTTCACTGTGTTATTAAGGACACAGGTCCAAAAGGTAAGCCAACCATCTACCACCCTCCTGCCTAATTGGTCAGTAAGAGCACTCTCACTGATGGATGAAAGGGCACTTGATGGGGCTTAGTCACAAAGTCCAGCCTCTAGAAGTGGCACTAGTTTTAGACGAGACACAGACAATTTTTGATGGCTAATAAAAAGTACATAAAAATGAGCCTATATGGGACTTTTAGGTACCTTGTACATATATTAGATAGGATACCTTTTTACAACATACATTTTTATTATGATTTATTAAATGACTATAAATGGATAAAAAAGAACTGTACAGTCAATATTCACTTCTACTTCAACTGTGTTCATCTGCTTCATATTGGCAGTATATGTCCATTAAAAGTAGGCTATAAGCTACTTTACTGGCTAAACAGCATGGAAGGAAGAATCTATTCTATTTATCTGTGTGTGTATGGCTAGCCTTAGCCAACTTTTCAAGTATATAGCAACACACTGCATTGTCTCCTGGGGCTATCATAAAGATTCAGTCTCACCTATTTTCATAGGTGAGCAAACAGATTTGACTAACAATCAATTATAGACAAAGTTTTGGCTACATGGATTTAAATAAATTTTGTTAGTAACCTCACGTGCAGCACACTGAAATCAATGTTATTCTCTCAACCAACAGTTAAAATTTCTGTAAGTCCAAAAGTTTTTTTTAGCTTTGGTGAGAATAGTGTGGTTTTATTTGTCTGGGGAGATGCAAGCTCTTTGTCCTGGTGATCATTGTCAGTGGGATGGAAAGTGAGGTACAATCCCACATTTTTAGTTGCCCCCAAAACAGGAATTTTTCAGGAGGGCAAAAGTTCCAATTGAGACACATTGTTTCTGTGACAACTGCATAAGAAGGAATTTCCCCCTGCGTTTGGGAAGATTTCCACTCACTTGAAGTTAAAAGAAAAGTTCCCCACGTGGCTCACAGAAAGTTAAAAAAATTAAAAAAAGAAGAAGAACCTGATCGCTGTTTAACCCTTTCGCTGCCACCGACATCAGTGATGTATTTTGGTTTTGTGCTGCCCTAGGCAAGACTAAACTCGGGCACCCTCAATCTAAATTTGTCCCACCCCATCCTGTTTTGACATTTTGCGCAACCTGTCAGTCACTGGATACAGCGCACAAATTCTCAGGAGAGCTGTGTAGGGTTTATGGTGAGCTGTGTGGGGTCTATGGTGGGCTGTGCAGGGTCTCAGGAGGACTGAGTAGAATCCCTTTCCCTGCATACATGTGCTGCTCCTCTTACCTGCAGCTCAAAGTGCCATCAGTACCAACAGGATACAGCGCAGTCTCCAGCCTGCTTCTGGGACATCCCACCATCAGATCACATGCTATGGCCAGCCTGTAGCCACCCACTGCTTCTCCTCCACGTGCTGTTCAAAGCCAGCTAGACTGCATCTCACTGGGCCCTCACCTCCACCGGGCAGCTCTCTAATTAGGCTGGCGCTCTTAGGACCTTGCAGCTGTTTAGTTTGCCTCATTGCCTGATTTACCTCAGTATGCCATACGTTGGTGGCCTTTACCCTTCTGCTATAAGCTCATGGTTGCTTTAGTGACCATGAACGTATACCAGAAGGGCTCTCCTGACTCTCCCCTATAAAATAATAGCAATCAGCTGCTGATAACTATTAACAAAAATTCCGGGCGGCACCCCTTCCCCCCCAGCCGACACCTGTCATCTTCTCCCCACCTGGATCCGCTCCATGCTTCTCCTCGGATCCCTGCTGCTCTCCGCCACCTCTATGGGTTGAGGCAGCGGGGATCCATCAGTTTCAGCTGATCACTCAACAGTGTTGGTAAACGAGCTATGTATCCCCAGTTATGAACGAACCGGAAGTGCTTTACATCACTTTCTGTTCATTCATGAGTTTGCAATGGGGAGAAGCACTCACTACAGAGGCTTCTACCTATTCAGAAAACTGGTTGATAGTAAATATTTTATGAATGGGATGAATGAAAAGGCTCTGTACTGAGTGCTTTCCATTCATTTAGAACAGAAGCTGCAGAAAAAGAGATGGAGGATTCTGTGTCCTCAATTTCTTTTTCTATTTAAAAAGGAAATGTCAGGCATCTGTTTAGACTGCAGTACATTGTTGGAATGCATTGCAGTGCTTGATTTTTAAAATAACATTAATTTAACTGTGGCAGTGCATGGGAAAGTGTTACATTGCCGAGCGTTGTGACACGCTGTGTTAAATGTACGCTTGTATCATTTTATCACAACACATACACACCACCACAGTGCACAAACAATTTTTAACATAAGTTGCTTATTTACCGCTTCGCAAAAAGGCACAATTTAAAATTTACAAATGGTTATGAACTCAATACAGTTTTAGCTTTTAGATTTAGGCGGAAAATTTATTTTTTTGTGCACAGATACTGATTTTAGTGCGCTTTGATCTATTTATTGTGTATTTTTATTGGTTTAATATTGATATGATAAACATTTGCGCAGTTATTGCAGGACCTACAAAGTTAGTAGCACCATCTTTTTATTCTAGCAGGCCTGTGCCTTCAGAAAATATATGGCTTGGGGGGGGAAATTACAAAAACTGTGTGGCCAGCTAAAGTTAACGCGTTCGAGGGCTTGGCAGCGAAAGGGTTAAACAGTTCCTCTATCCAAAATGGAGGGGGGAAAAAAAAAAAGTTTAAAAATTAGGAAAAACACCTATTTTATATTTGTCACATAAAATTTCTAAACCAAATTTTCCTTTTGGAATGCATGGGAGGTGGGGAAGGTAATGTTTAACCTAAATAACCTTGTCTGTACATGCTGGAAGATCTCATAAGTTGTAGACCAGATTTGATCACTGTCCGTCCTAACAAAGGGTTAAAGATCTAGAAGTATTGTATGTTAATGACAGGAAACTCAGCATGTCCCAAGTCTTTCTATGGCCAGCCAAAGTTTCTTGCCATTGTGAAATTATACATAGAATCTCCAAAGGCCAGCTATACAGAGACATCTAAAAGGTGAGAAATATTTGTTAAAAATTATTTTTGGGTAAGCTGTGTGAATAGGAACACAAACAAAGAGAGGGGTTTTCCTATGTTCATCTGCAAAAGTAGAGATGCACTTTAAATCTGATGAAGACCAAAAACGCAGAGCTCTTGGACGAATACCAATTGTCTGACCACCAAATAATATTCATTATGGAATAATTTTATGAAAAAAAAAAAGTATCAAAAAAATATACTTACGATAAATCTTTAAAATCGGAAAAAACATACATGTGCCTAAAACTATCAATTGCTATTACAGGGCAATCTGAAGGACTCTTCTGAATATGTAAAAGAGGGTGTCTGAACTTGTCACAGTCCGCATGTAGGAAGTTTATTGTGCCTTCAAAAAATAAACAATAGTTTTAGTGAGTAAAGCATTTCATGAAGATGCCAGGCAATGTTTTAATGAACCATAAATGTATAAATAAAATACAATTAAGCAGTTCAAAACATATGGGATGCCACAAAAAGTACAATGTACAGTAAAATTGTATATATTTTATGCCCAAATAAAAAAATACCATACTGGATGAGAAGCATTGTAGTAATAAGCTTTAGCTGTATGCAAAGGGCGAGTGCTGTTGACACAATTCTCTCTACACGTGTGAGTCATATGTATATACTGCCTTGCCCAAATGCAGATTTAGTTCCCGGCACAGTGGGCTGAAAGTCTTGTTTTAGAATCTTGTTAAAGGCAGGTTTACACGCGTACATCCGTAACAGTAAGGTTTTGTCTCAGCAATAGTTAAAGCATATTACCCATTAATGTTTTCAAATGTGTTTTAGTACTGGCCAGCTGGTACAAGTCCCAGTGTCCGGTTAATATAAAAACGTCTAAATGTGCCCATACACCTTACGACCATCGCAAGACTTTTCTCTTGCGATGGTCGTAAGCTTGTTAAAAGCTCGTACGATCTGCCCATCTTGGACGGGCAGATCGTACTTGCGATCATTGAAAGTGAGGGGCGGGCTTCCGATCACTGTAAAACGGGCACACCGGCGCGCACACCGGCCCGTTCGGCAGTTGTCGAACAAGCAGGCCACTAACCCGCCGAGAATCGTACGATTCTCGGCGGGTTTTCAAGCATGCTTGTTCAACGGAAAACGTGCGACCGTACAGTAGTAACGGTCGCACGCCTTCCATACACTGTACGATTATCATACGATCGCGGGATTTCCCGTGATTCTCGTACAATAACCGTACAGTGTATGGGCACCTTTAGGGTGCCCATACACCTTACGATTATCAGACGAAACTTTGATGATCGAACAGTCGTACGATTTTCGTACGACGGCCCCATCCTGCCCCGATTATCGCAAGGTTCAATCAGCGGTAGTTAAAAAAAAAAAAACACCTGGACGAATTGCGATAATCAACCGCACTTATTTTCGTTTGCGCATGAGCAGTGTTAAATCGTACGACTTTTGACGGACGGAAACGCCACCAACCATGCCACCAACCATGCGAACATCGTACGATCGACCAAAGTTTTCAAACATGCTTGGCCGTCTAAAGTCGTATGATTGTACAGTACTATCGGTCGGTCACTACATTCACACGTTACCACTGCCGTACAAAAAGTCGATTGCATACGATTAACGTACGATAATCGTAAGGTGTATGGGCACCTTTAGACAGCACCAGCAGCTGCCAGTGGTGATTGCTTCCTTACCTTCCCCATCCCTTCTAATGAAAACCAGGTATACAACAAAGTCCCCTTCCCACTTCAGTAACTTACAGTGTACCTCTCTACTGCATGGAAACCCCCATCACACTGGGGAAATAGATTATTTTTAATGGTGGCAGTTTAACCCCTTCGTGACTGACGACGTACAGTGTACGTCGCCAGCATCGGGGCTGTTTAAACAGACTCCCGGCGACTTTTGCCGCCGGGACTCTGTTTAAACTTGTAGAGCCGACTGTCGGCTTTACAACAGAAGCGATCCTGGCGACTTACCTGTCGCCAATAGCAGAATGCTGTAGCAAATATGTTCATGTCTAGAAGGTGTATGCAAACTGATGTGGTTGGGAAGTCCGTACAAAGCAAGGACAGGCTGACAGGAGCCACAGCTCCTCACATGTATCTGCACATCCAGTGGATACCTGCGGCTATGGACAGATGAACAGCCCTGGATGCAATCTGCCTGTGTCCTGGGCTGGATATCTGGCCACGGATAAGCGCTGGATGTGCGGATTCATGCAAACACCTGTGCTTCCTGTGGGCTTGTCATTGCTTTGTACGGGCTTCCTGGCCTGCAGTTATTCGCATACATTTAGGATTCCAGCTACCAGGAATCTGCTATTTGGACCTATTCAGACATGTGAATGAGGCCCTATGAATGTTTCACACATCCAAACACTGGAAAAAGCAAAACTTTAATGAATAAAAAAAATATCATAAAAGTAACAAAAAAGGGTTGTGGAAAAAAAAAATAAGAGAAAGAAAAAAGGCTCAAGAGAAAAGAATTGAAAAATGCATGGATGGCCCTAGGTGATCGTAAGACATATTAACCTAACAATTCCATTTGCAACATTGTTGACAACATAAAATATTTTTGCCAACACATATAACATTATTTCTTGGGAGATTTTGCTGCTAAACGTGTGCATTTAATAAGTGATCATGCAGGGCAAGCTAAAAGGGTCACTTAACTCTTCCTTTTCCTCACCCCAGCAGCATATGCTCACCTTTTCTCACTCACATGCTGCTCTGTTCAGCCGCTAGTCTAGAAAAAAAAGCCCTGTGGTCAGCTGCAAACTAACTTGCTGACGAGTGACTAACATGTGACAGAGCTTGCCAATAACGATGCAATTGATGGAGGTGCCCTCCGCACACCTTTCAGCAGTCCCGGCCAACAATCAAATAAATGGTGCTCGAAGTGGCACCGTGCAAAACACAAGATTGAAGAAAATAGGTCACCAGCACTCCATAAGTTAAAATGAATGAGTCCTTTTAATGGACAATGATGTCAATACCAAGTATTTGGGTGAATACTCTTACTCGCCCAAATGCTCCGATACTTACCTCTGATATCGGAACTTCTGGTCAGAGGGAGGTTTCCCTCTGATTGGCAGTGTCGAGTGAGCATGGAGCCGGCTTTCTTTCCAATCAGGAAGCTGGGTTGTTCACTTGTTGCTAGGCAGCCTGACTTCCTAACCAATCAGGAAGCCGAGCAGGACGTAATGACCCGACTCCAGGCTTACTGATTGGTCAGGAAGCCAGCCTGCCTAGGAACAGGTGAAGCCAGCTTGCTAGCCAATCAGAAAGCCGGGTCATGACGTGCTGCCCGACGTGACTCGCCTCCCTGATTGGCTAGGAAGCCAGCTTCCTAACCAATCGGGTAGCCGGACGGCACCTCGTGACCCTGATTGGTCAGGAAGCCAGGCAGCCTCAGCAAGTGAAGCTGGTTTTCTTTCGATAGGACAACGTTTTCCCAGGCAATCAGGAAGCCAGGCAACGGGTCATGATCCGCCGCCCGACTTCCTGATAATCGGGACACGCGGCATCGCTATCGTTGAGTACCAAAAAATAAATAAATAATTGGTACTCGATACTGAAAAACCGGTATCGTTGCATTCCTAGAGATCAACATAATATTATCAGTGAGCATTAAAGTGATTAATGTGAAACCTCGGCCAAAACCTGTATTTAGTTAGTTTGAATGGTGTGGAGAAGGGCAAGAAGCTCTGTTGGGATTTTAATGACTGTCCCAGCTATGAAAAATTTACCCTAAGATCCTGTGTGGTCACTGGGGAATGTAGTAGGGAAACTACTCCAGTGGGGAAGCAGACAACAATGAAAGGAAGGGCTAGAATTTCTGTCAGATTTGTATTGCTGTCTGCGTCTCATTAGGAAGATTCTCACTTCTTGTTTGATCATTAGGAATAATAGGAAGGGAAATCTGACCAATAAGGTCACAGACAGCAGTAAAACTTAACAGAGGTTCTAACTCTTCTGCACTCTTTCCATAACTGAGGCATATTGGTTGTATTTCCATTCTAATGGGTTAGAAACCTTGTTTCTAAATGTAGAGTATAACTTTACACACGGGGCAGTTATATGTATTGGTTACATATGAAAGTTACTACTGCCAATGATTGTGGAAAACTCCTCTCTCACATCCGTCATCATCACATCTGACAGGACTGAAATTATATTTCAGCAGCTGTTGGTTGGGGAGGCTGACTACAGATATCTTATAAATCTGAATAAGCACTGTAACTGTGAAAATGTAGTACAAAAAGCCAAATGAGAAAATTAAATTTACCCCAGCACCTGTATATCCTTTATGGACCAAAGCAATGTTGACATTTTAGCTACAGTCTTTCATTTGGCAAGAACAGCGTCATGGTTTGCAATCCAAGACAGATATCATTGTTTGGAGACAAAGGTTTCATTTGGCAGTAGTGCAAACAAAATATAATTTACTATTAATTCAAGAGACATAAAATTCTAAAATACAATCTGTCCAGTTTAACCAGTTTTAAAATAATTAAGGTTAACTTATGTTAAAAGTTTTATCCTGCATTATGCCCCGTTTATAACGCTGAAATTACATTTCTAGTGTAAACCCTGGCAAAGTTATTTATATTTATTTTAAATCAATGTCACAAAAAGGAAAGGAAGAGGCTTCTGCACTTAATTCCTAGGGTGACAACAGTGTTCCTCAACAGATACAGTACAGTAAATGAGCATTGCCTTCCTAAGAAAGGACATGTGGTACTGGTAAAAATCACCAGATGAAAACTGACAAAAAGCCTGAAAAACTAATGCAAACATCAAGTCTAACAACTGGTAATGTACAATATATGAGATATGCTTTAAACAAAAAAAAGCAAAAACAAAAAAAAAAAAAAAAAAAAAGGTGTTAAATGGGTACAATTTTATTTAAAACAAAAATCCCATGGAAGATTGCTGAATATGACATTTTGTGCAATTTAGAAGAACAGAGTGCCAGCAACATCACTGGACAGAGGGCACTGTGGGGCCATGAGCATGCAAGGTATATCCAAGATATTTGGTTGAAGTTGTTTTTTTTGGGGGGGGGCGTTGGTAGAGGATTAATTACAGTAATGAATGATCTTCCATCTGACCTAGATCTACATTAGTGGGCCCATTCATATGCATTATACACTTACATATATCAGACTGATAATAACACTCAAGATAAATGTATAGGTGCTGGAAGCCAAAGATTCCCAACTGGTGATCTGTCATTTGCCAGAAATCAACTAATTTATGCAAGAAAACCACTTCACTCCCTGGGTCTATTGCTGTGCAATAAATATATCTTTAAAAACACAAAAATCACTGCATTCTGATAGCTGTATGCATATATGTAATAATAGTATTCAGTATATAAAAAAAAAAAAAAGATAACATTCATATCCCATGATATTTTTCCCCACACATGGATGCAGGCCAAGGATAGTAACAGGGGTTGGGTGAAACTAAAAGCACTGAGATTTGACGGTCATATTTTTTGCTGATCTTCATGTAAACATAAAAGAAAGTGAAATACAACATATTAATTCATAGATGGAATACTATCATTACAGGCATTTCAAAGATTAAAATATATTTTTACCTGTATAAGTCATGGCATAGCAACAAAAAGAAAAAAATCCACATGAATAAAACTTAGAAGTAGATTTTAGTTTAATTTTTTCAGATTTCCGACTGCAAATAAAAATTATCTTTATAACATAACCACATCACAGTATCCTCTGAGGGAGACATATGAAATGTGTGTCAACATTTAAACTGCCAGGAAAGCTGTGCAAACAGGAAATTGTCCTGTTGTTTATAGCAAGCAAAATCACAATCCCGGTTTACTTTTGAGATTTAGAATGCAGAATTTACAGTGGGAACCTGACTGGTTCATGGTAGGTAACAAGAATTAGTTGACACATAATGCACTTACCGTTGTGGAGGCGACACATTCTATACATCCTATATTTCCATGTGTACATGACTGGTAAACATGGTAGAAGCTGATGTTCTACTTCAAGGAATGGAAGAAGAACTACCCGATTGGTGGTATTTAGCACCGTTTTAGCTCAACATTTAAAGCCATTTCCAACTTTTTAATTTATTCAATAGTTTTGAAATGTATTTACAAAGTGTATTGTCATTCAAATTGAAGACCGTTTAACCGCAGCATTAAGAAACAAAGAGAAAACCTACCTTTTTCACTAATTAGCTGTCGTGCAACTTCTTGTTGGAATTTTTCTAGACTTTCAGTGTCATCTTTCAAATGGAAAAGTATAAGAAAGGGAAGTCCTTCCTCTGTTAGCTCCTGAACAAAATATTGTACAACATTAAAAAATGCTCAACAAAAGGACAGTGACCAAATTCAACATGACACATTTTAACAGTGTTCACCGAAATGGAGGTGCACCGAAATGGAAATTTTAAAACCGAAACAAAAATGTCAGGCCGAAACCAAAAATGTTTTTTATTTTTTCAATTTTTTAACCAGTTGACATTCGCGGTGTTAAACCCCCTTCCCATCCAGGCCAATGCTAGGCCGGCTGTCACTTTCTTTTCTCCTCGCTGGAACAGCGGCCGGCGGGGAGAAAAGAAACCAGGGATGCGCCGATGTATCGGCCGAAACATGGCTCTATCGGCATTATGCCAAAAGTGCCATTTTCGGCCGATATGTTTCGGTGCCGATATATCGGTGCATCCCTAGTGTTCATGGCTTTGCCACCTTTCCAATCAACCCCAGGAATATCTATGAAAGTATGCCGCTTGTACAGAAGGCATTTTCTTTTTTTTTGTTTGTTTGTATAATGTAGTTTGACATTTTTCAACATGCATTAAATGCCAAACGCAGTTATTTTCTAACATGGGTTGTATGGGCAGATGGGTAAAGAAGTTTTAAAACAGCATTGTGCAGTGTAACCCAACTACACATCGCCACCAGAGATTAAACTGACCTGGACCATGAGGAATTTATCTTTGACAAATTACTTGGTAAATATGGCATTGACCCAGAACCCAATGTGCAGCATCTAAGGTGCAACCAGTATTTAAGACTCCAGAATGAAATAAACCTGAAACACTTGAAATACATAAATGGGAGTCATTTGACCTGCTGAAGGATTTGCGTTTCTATCCATTTGGTCCTCAGTTTTATACAGCTTTGTCACGCTGAAAAAAATCAGGCGGATGACATCACAATTAACGAACCTGCTGCTGGAACCTCCCTGCTGAAGCCTGTGATTGGAAAGCAAAGGAGAAGTAGCAGACTAATGAGATAATCTCTCCGCTCTCTTCTTGTGCCAGCATATCTGCATGCAGCTCACCTAAATGGCTCCTTGTGCTGCTCTCCCAGTCCGAGTCCTGCTGTACAAGGGGCTGCAAGTGGCTGATTCCAAGTCAAATTCAGCTACTTGCATATATTATAGTTAATGATTTGAGAGCCGCAGTAATTTGTGTTCTTAATATATGCCTGGAGTTCAGAGGTTTCCCTACTCTAATGTAAAAATAATCAAAGCCCACTTACTTCTCCATTTTCAAATGTTATTTCTCGCACAAGAGGCACACATTTATCTTGGGTCCAAGCATAAGTGAGGTCAAAGTTGGTGAGCGAACCCAAATATACCATATCAGGAGCGTTTTCCTGCAAAAAGGAATTATTTCGATACAGTAAGTTTTATTAGAAGGAAAACAAAATCTCAGAAAATGAGAACGCAAAAGGTCTATATTTATGGTAGCTAAAGCAGACAGCAAACAGCATAATTTCAAAAACCTGGTGAAAGCTAAAACTATTTTTGGTGAAGAGTTTTCAATCCTAAACATTTGGAAAATCACTCCCCTCCCCCAACACTGATCTGGTGGCCATTTTTTTAAATAAGAAATTTGGGGGCTAGTATTGCCTACCTTCGCTGATGTTATGCTGACCTTTGGGTTTAACTCTTTCGTGACCAAAGGTCATCAATGGGTGCTCCACTAGGGAACTCAGAAATTAAAAAAGATTTGGGGGGGGTCATAGTTGATCACAGATTGAACAGCACACAATGCCAGGCTGTGGCAAACAAAGCTAGCAGAGTACTGTCTTGTATTAAAAAGGGAATGTTCTGTAGAGACAAAGCAATAATGTTGGCACTTTATAGATCACTGGTTCGGCCTCATCTTGAGCATGCGCTTAAGTTTTGCAAAGAAGGGATGTCCTGGAGCTGAAGAGAGTCCAGAGAAGGGCAACTAAACTAATTAAGGGGCTTGAGGATCAAAGCTATGAGAGAAGGTTGCTAAATTTAAACTAATTCACACTGGAGCAACATCAGCAATAAACTTTTTACTGTAAACTCCCTAACAAAGACTAAAGGCCACCACCTAAAATTGGTGGAGAAAAGATTTATCCATAAAAAGGGTGTAGGGGCTTCTTTTCAGTCAGAGTGGTTAAATGTCAGAGTATTGAATCATTCAAAAATCAATTAGATACCTTCCTCAGAGACCAGAACATACAGGGGTACAGGTACTCCTAAAGACTGAGACCACACAGGGACTCATATGCGCACACACGCGCACACACACTTATTCAACCTCAAATACTATGTAACTCTGTAATGCATGCATGCCTAAACTGAATTTAGCAGCATCGGTGTGTGTTGCAACACTTGACATTAACTCCATGACTAATCTAAATAATTGTTATTATCTAAGAACATAAAGCTTTAATTTGATGCAATGTTTTGCTGGATAACTTTGCCCATGTTTAATATTATAGGCTGACAAACTGACAAAAATGTAAAAAAAAAAAAAAAAAAGTGCCTTTAAAAATGATTTCTTTCTCTGTACACAGTGAGTGAATCGTAAGGTGATTCATGCTTTAATTCTTAACTTCCTTTCATGCTTTGCTGAGGGACAAAAAAAACAACCTGTTCACAGAACAGTACTCAAGCTGCAGTTTACACACAAGTGAATGAATCAGAGCAGTTACTCATCTCTCTCTCACTCCTCCTTCCTTTGCCCCAGCAAAATCTTCAAAACAGACAAAGAAGGGAATTTACTAAAACTGGAGCAGACAGAATCTGGACCAACTCTGCATAGGAACCAATAAGCGTCTATCTTTCATTTTCAAAGCTTAACTAAACAAGCTGAAAATTGAAGCCAATTGATTGTTGTGAACAGCTGTTCCAGATTCTGCCTGCTCCAGTTTTAGTAAAATTCCCCCCCACACCGTCTCTTATGGTCAAAGAAGACAACTCTAGCTATAGTTTCTCTAACGTGCTTTGGGAACTTTGTATTAAAATATTAGGTTTAAAACAAAAGATTGCATATCTTGTAGAAAAACCAAAACCGATTTAAAACATCAGTTTGACAAACTATTTTTGATTAAAAATAAATAGATAAGGTGATTGTGAAGACAACATGCAGATGGCACATCTCATGTTTGATAAATGATCTGCCACTTCATGGCTACCTTCAGTAATGGCTTAAAATATTTTAAATTCAAGATACCCTTTAACATCTAACCCTACATGATTTACATACATCTCAGAAAATATATCAAGTAATCTTTGATGTTGTGTTCTGGAAATAATTCTTCAGACCAGTGAAGATCATTGCTCAAAATAACAAAAACTTACCCCATTTGGTCTGTAAATTACATTATCTCCACTATATCGCTCAGGTTTTGCAATTTCCCTAAGAGAAAAAAAAAGTTATTTAGCGCTTGCTGAAGAATAGAAACAATATCAACAGGTTAGAAATATATAATCATTCTATACAGGCAACTAAACACACAATTGACAAACAATGCTTACCCAAATGCAGAAAGAAAGACACAGTCATCATGTAAAATGTTTGCCACTTTCGCAAATGTTCGGTAGTTGTCAGACTCTTTTGATTCAAAAAATCCAATTATTGTTCTTTTACTGCGCTACAATGTGAAAATAAAAAGTGATAGTGAATAGCTTTTTCTGAAACATAGGTGTTTTTTTTGGTTTTAACATGAAACAAGTCTAAAAAAAAAAAAAGAAATATAATGTACGAGAGCGTCAGTCTAACCCATTTCAAGTCCAGAACAATGACTCATTGGGTGTTTAACAGCATGAAACTATATAGTAGGGTACTCATTTATATGCCTGATCAGTGCAGCCAAAAATGCAACCCACACCTTTTTTGGTGCGTTAGGCAGCTAATGCAGCATGGCAGTGTGGGCCCAACCTTAGTCTGTTCAAAAAATGGTGTAAATTGCACTGTGTTGCACGGCATGAACCCTGGTGACTTCTAAGAAACAGAAAAATAGTTTTCTATGTGAACCATTCACACTTCAGTGTAGTTGGCACTGCGATGAAATGCACACATTGCTGGATTTTACTTGGTGTAATGGACCCCACGGCAAGTCGTTGCATGGCAACAGACAAACAGTGACAGCTCTTAAGAACCTTACAGCCGAAGCTGGCATCAGATGAGATCTGAACATGCAGCTGTAAAACTTTGACAAACTTGTGAACAGAAGGCCAGGTGGCAGCCTAACAGATCTGAGAAGAAACAGATGCATGGTGCTAAAATGCCTGTGAAGCACTAAATGACATAGGGCGCCCACCCTGGTGTAGATGGTTTTTTAATGATAAAAGCTAAATCCGAAAACAGCTGCACAGACACCTAACAGCACAGGACTCCTTTGATGACGAGTTTCCGGGGCCACGCCCCCTTTGTCAGAACATGTGCTGACGAAGGGGGCATGGCCCCGGAAATGCATCATCAAAAGGAGTCCTGTGCTGTTACACAGGTGTCTGTGCAGCCGGTTTCAGATGTCACTAAGGCTTGCCTTTTATGATTTTACAGATTCACTTTTGCGAGTATGATTTTATCCTGTACTTTAGCTTTTATCATTAAAAAACCATCTACACTAGGGTGGGCGCCCTTCTCTTTTGTTTTCTCCCACAGTGTTGAAGCTTCCCAGGCTGAAGTGGGGCAGCACCCCTAGTTATCCTCGCTTGCACATAATTTTCAATTGTCGGTCAGTGTTTGGCGCTTTGGATTCGTTTTACTGTTTGCACTAAGTGACATAGTAGAGAGGTAAAACCTTGTCCTTAATCTATAGGCTTGAATAATGAGCTGTTGAATCCACCTACAGACAGTGGAGCAAGAAGCAGGCAGTTTTCCAAGGCCTAAGGGGACCCTCAGGAATTACAAAAAGGAGTCCATTTGTCAAAAGGAAGCTGTAGCGGCATGGTAGACTGCAACCCTCCCTGGGATGTCACAGAGCAGGACACAGATGGGAGAACATTATCCTGGTTAAAGTGGAAGCATGGAACCAACTTGGGAAGAAAAGAGGTGTCAGGCTTCAAGACAACTTAGTATCTGCAAAGCACAAGAAAGGGTTCTTTACAGGATAAGACCAACAACTCAGAATCTTGCCTCGCAGTAGTGATGGCAGTGAGGAAGCAACCTTGTGAATGAGAGGAGGGGAACATATAACATGTGATAAATCAGTGTTTTCTTAACTTGGCTGCAAAAGTGGAGATGCACTTTAATGTATTTAGAGAAAAGACTGTTAATGAATTAAGAATTTGAAATACATCTTCTACAGTAGACATAATTTAAATCAAAAAGTAAAACCTGAAGTAGGTTTTCATGACAACATACTCACATCAATTGTTTTCAACTCTTCTAAGCTTTCAACTGTTCGAATTGGATCACTTCTTTGTTGCCTCATATAGTCTGCAATTGCTGTCACAGAACGTTGACCTCTATACTCTCTTTTCATCATCATTCCATTTCTAAATAGCTTTAATGTGGGGTATTTGCTTATCCTATATCTTTGCTCAATATCCGCTATAAGATAAGTGG